CCCCCCCCCCCATCTCCGCTCCTCTAAAGCAAAGTCAGATGTAGGATGAGGATCCCTCTCCAGACTACTGTACTATCTCTTCTGAACTTTTCCAGAAGCCACCTCTATGGAGTGTCCATACCCAGGGGGATGGCTGAAAATTTGGTCAGTGGGATTTACTCATTTCATTTCATTACTGTGAACTTCATGAGCCCTGCAAATAATGACACACATCTCTGGACTGCCTTTATTGCTCTCAGACCTCTGCTCACAGGTCACTTAGCATCAGGTTAATAGTGAGTGGATCACTGAAGGCTTTCTTTAAAATTTTCCTGCTAGAAACTTTCAGGACATTGTCTCTGAACAGAAGGAGACTCGTGACTCACAGCTGTTCATATTCCAGTGTTGAAAAACTTTACCAGCACATTTCTCTGGCAGGCAGGAGCATTCATCAAGATCTGAACCTCAGTCAAGGGGAGAAGGGGAGGCTCGGTGATCCCTGGCTCCCCTCGCCTTGCACTTTGCCCTTTGTGCTGAACTGGCAAGGCACAGAACAGACCACATCCAACCTCGTAGCAAGCTGAGGTCCAGGAACAGGGAGAAGGAGGAAAGCTGCTCTTTAGCCCTTTCCTTTTCTCCAACTCACTTTACCCCAGAGAATTCTGTCCTTCCATTGCATATCTTGGCTGAGATCTCCCCCCATGTGGCTACAGGGAGGCTGATTTCACTCTCTTGTGGGTCTAAGGCTTTTGTACCTGGACTTATGGTCATTCATGGAGGCTAGAAAAATGCCAAGATATGTTTTATTGAGCTTTCCTTTCTCTAGTAATGGTGTCTCAAACTTCTCTGTTATATTGCTGTATGTATACAGGCAGCTTTTCCCTCATGTAATTTGAGCACCTGCATCACATTACTTCAGAAACTTACAGTTCTGGCAAATCCAGACAGATCCTGATGTTTTTTTCATCATGAAGTCCCACATACATCAGAATTATTGACTGAAGGGATGGCTAAACCTGGTCCTTGAATTTTGGGAGTACTGGCTGAAGTGTTTAAGGAATTACCATGTGAGAGCAGCTAGGAGGGAATTGAAACAGCAAGGCAGGCAGTTGCATATCTATGCTAGAGCTAATAGGTATTTCTACTTCTGACACATTTCTCTCCAGATTGTGAGGGAAAATTGTTGCTTTTTTGTTATGAAGGAAAGATTTGTAAAAGCTGATGCTTAAGGTCCAGACAAGTAATGCAGGATTTCTTTTGCTTGCTAGCGGTTAAAGAAGGTGAAAGAACTGAACAAGTGAAAGCAGTACCTCTGCCAATAATTCAAATTTTTCCTGTATTCCAATTTCTCTGGAAGGCCACTGGGATCATAAATGACAAGCTGTAAAGCATGGATGGTAGAAAATTACAGGCCATATCAATCGACATAATGCCCAGAACTTGAAAAGGTTACTTATCTATCTTGTGGCTCCCAAATCAAGCTGGTCAAAAACTTCTCATAGTAACAATGAAACTGCAGAAAAAAGAATGTGACGATGCTGAAGCAAAAAGAGATACTTCCCTCAAAAAAAACCAAACAAACAAACAAAAAAAACCCAACAAAAGTTGTCACCTGAAGGAGATAAAAACATTAAAAGTTTTATGTATCCCTTTCCTAAATATCAGTTAAAGCAAGAATAATGAGTTGATTGTTAGGAAATCAATAAATACAAAGAATTTTTTTTCAGTTTGCAGTTTTGAACAGTTTATATGGTGTCAAAAGAAAAGAGTGTCTGTTATACTTCTTGTTTCTGTTCTCTGCTAACAGAGCAATAAGCAAAACCTTGTTTTGTATTGTTTAACCTCTGTAGGTGTTTGATGGATGGATACTCAAGGGAGAGAAATTTCCCAGTTCCTTGGACCATCCACTCACCACTTCTCAAAGATATGTAGACTTCTGTGAAAGTGGGAATATTCAGAGGAGCATCAGATCATCACAAAACGTGGCAATGATCTTCTTCAGGATTCAGCAACCAGGCAATGGATTTACTGTCACAGTCAAGAAAAACAGCAATCTCTTCCGTAAGTCTGAATTTCACACTACCAATGGGGCTTGAATTTGGAAGCAGAAAGATTGTGTTGTTTTGCACTGAATTTTCTCACTGTGGTTATTTGCACTGACAAGGCTGAGGTAAGGGAGGTGGAGCCCTGCAGGCTTGATTCAGGCTCAGTGTGTGCCCCAAGAGAAAAATGAGCTTAAGAGATCACATAGGCTTCAATATGCAAGACTGTAAGGCTCTTTCTTTCAGATGAGATCCCTCCCAATCTAATATTGGCATGTTCCAACACATTTAGCTAGAACAAATAGTATTAATTTAGCAATTCAATCTCAGTGTTTTCTAGATCTGGGTGAAAAATGAGGAAAAAATATTTGAAAAAGGTCAACAGTAAAATCAGTGTATTGAATGGTTATGTGGTAGTTATGAGAGATGTACGACCACAGGGATCTATCTGCAAGTTCTTTCCCTAAGCCTCTGAGCTGCCAAGGCACAAATTATCATAGCATCATAGAACAGGTTGGGTTGAAAGAGACCATAAAGATATCTCATTTCAACCCCCCACCATGGCCAGGAATGCCACACGCTAGACCAGGCTGTCCAGGGCCTCATCCAACCTGATCTTGAACTCTTCCAGCAGTGGGGCACCCACAACTTGACTGGGAAACCTGTTCCAGTACCTCTCTTGAATTGTTTTTTCCAGAGAGGATGGGACATTTAGCAATTATTGTTCAGGCCAGTCTGATTTATCTGCCTAACTACTCAAAGTGACCAAAGAAAACAAAACAGAACAAAACAAAAAAACAAACAAGAAAACAAACAAAAACACCCAAACAAACAAGCAACCTCCCCAAAAAACAAGAAACCAAAACAAAGCCCCCAAAACCAGAAAACAGTTGACAGCATGTCTGCTGTGTCTTTACTCTATGTTATTCAGACTTGAGACTGCAAGCTGGGTCCCCACTCTGGTGTGGCTTCATGCCCATGGATGTGATGATTATTGTATTCAAATGCTGGAGGTGGCCGCTGTCTTTCACTGTCCCGCTAAAGCAACTGCAGGTCTATGTCAAGGATCCCTTGGTTTGCTCACATACATGATAAGTTACTGCTTTACCTGAACTCATAAGCTTGACCTTAAAGATAAAATCATGCTGTCATTTCAGTGAGATATTTTGCCATGTAAGCAACTCCAGTTCAGAGGAACAGAATAGGATTTAGGGGTTTGCTGGCAATATCAGGCAATAAGCTGTCAATTAAACACAATCCCTACCTTCACCCATGTTTAGCCTCCTTCAAACTGACAAACTGTGTGAGTCCCTGATGCACAGCTTTCAGGTGTGAGCTCTTCTATTGACTGCTTCACCCTAGGGTTCTGCCAGACCTCATGCTACACAGTAAACAATGGGGAGGAAATTGTTAAGGAACAAATGCTATGCAAGAACCTCACAAAATGCTGCACACTTTCTTTTCAGCATTTGGTTGTAACT